ATCTTGAAGATAAAGAAAGCCCACATGCTTGACAGCGAATAGCAGATAATAGACAGAAATAGAGGGCCATGACTGCCGATGTCTGTAACAGACCTGGCATTTGATGATGATGACGATGATGAAATTATGTTATCACAATCATTCCATTGAAAGAGGTAAGATCATTTAGAGGAATTTTGTAATTTGAGACCGAAAGAGAAACAAAGAGGAAGAAAGGGAGACAAGACGATTATTTTCCTTTACGCTTTGAATTCATACCTTTTCAACTACATCCTCCTTTGTTTTAAATCTTTATACTTCCTGTTCCTCCCTTTTCCTTTATCTCCTCCCATCTCTTCCCATCTCTTCCACTGCCAGTGTATTATATTCGTATTCCCTATATCATAATCAATGGTATTCCGGGGATTAAAGGCATCGTTTAACAATGTTAAATCTGAGATGCATGGCCCTACATGACTGTTATCAGTATCTGTGATATGGTGTAATATTGAAGCCCTAACAAAATCGCGCTTCAAAATGATCAAGAAGTTCCTCAAAAAGTAAAAATCTTTAAGTGATCGGTTTTACCATATACGTTTTCCCCATCAGACTGTAGTGTTATGAAAACCGTTAAAAAAAACGCAAAATTTGGTTTCGATTTCCAATCATAAATATCTTGAATATCAGACAGGCGATCTGCTTGTAAAAGTCATGGGGTTCCTGACTGAACAAAAGGTTTATAATTATCATTGCAGCGTGAGCTAAATCCAGGATTTTGTTTCAAAATCTGAGACAAACTTACCGGATCCCTTTAAAGGTAACATCATTGCTCTCTCGCGTCGACCCCGTACATATTTTCCAAATGCACAATACGCTTTGGTTGAGAACTGTTCATGCAATTACATTGTGAAAAAATTGTCTAGACTCGTTCTGGAAAGGTTTGTTATGTTCTAAAGTGCGTATCAACAAAAGCCGTACCCAGCTCTGGTAGCTCGTAATTAAAAAGTCATAACGAATATGACTTCGAAATGTATTTCATGTATTTCATGATTATGAGTAACTTGTTTTCGGTCCAATGATAATACCCTATTCATAATATTTCTACCACGGGTGACTGCATGAGCGCAATCATAAAAGTTCTTTAAAGATTTGGTTAAAATCGTCTTGTACCAAGTTTGGGCTGATAGAACGAATGTTGAATGAATTCAAGATTGTAATCTTCATAACGAAGAGAATATCATACATTTTTCTTCTAATAAGGATTTCCTTGAGCTCGAGTTGATATTAACACTTTTGATCTTCAACTGCCTAATAGCCGATATCAAGAAGTGAGCAATTTTTTATGGAATGAAACAACCCACCAATAATGGCTTTGAACCACATCCATTGTTTCAGCCCAAACTTGGTACAAAGGGATTTTGACAATACATTTTGAGAAGCCTGCTGCTCAGAACCCGTGGCAGCACAATTATGAGTATGGTATCATTAGACTGGGTATTAGTTACTCCTTTAACATGAAATATGATTCAAAATCACATAGGTTATAGCTTTTTAATTAGAAGCTACCAAAGTTGGGTACATTATTTTTGATAGGCAATGTACATTAGAACTGGTGTGTGCTGTCATGTTCTGAGGCATCAAAATGATAAGACATTGACTAAATCTTCACATGCATAGCACTCAGAAATTGGTATATGGGAGTACACACGTGTAGCATAAAGGTTTGGTCCAAATACTCCAGCTATGTATCATCACATTATGAATATGGGGCATTTGATGAGCTGCCCTTTTCTGGAGACATTTCTGTTTTCCAAAAAGACACACACAGAATGAAAAAACTCGTTATTCTCCACCTCTACGAGAACACAACCTTTTCTTTAAAATATTATAACATTCTTCTCCCAATAGAGACTGGGTCAACATCATCTCACTTCAAAACGGATTATAAACAACTTATGAAATTGGAGGGACAAGTCTGAAGGGTGGGGTGGAAAGTCGTTACATCATTTTCATGACAGTGATTGAGTACACTTCCTAATACAAATGATTATGATCAACTTAACATCGACAAAGACACCCTGCAGGAAAACATACGTATTCTATGAAGGGTGGAAAAAGCACTCTAATTATTATTTCATACAATCGTTTTTGTAAACAAAGAGAATACAAAGAGATCATCATGATCATCATATCATTAGCTAAATAATTTATGACATGGATAGACATGCTGAAGGAAAAGCTTACAAGTAGGGGCGGACGATTGGCATAACTTTCTATGAAAGTGATTAGTGATTGAGTCGTTTTCATGCACAATATTATAATGAAATGGCCGTCATGGGAAGAACATGCAGAATAGAAGCATGAAATATGTAAGGTAATTGTGATTAATTATAAACATAGGGTTACTACGGAAAACAGGTTATCAGAAGGATTGTCAATTGCGTGGGATATGTAACTACAAAAAGAATGATAGATCAAACTGATCCTGATGCCGGGGTATGTTCTTGATTGGGAAAATGCGTTTCAACCATCGGAGGAATGCCGGGGGAAGAGATTGATGGGATAGATCAGAACAGCCCTTCGCCCCCAAGCCCTGTCCATTAAAAGTGTCGTTTTATATTAGAGTGTTGTTAAATATTATTAGAAAGAAAGACACAGGGAAGACAAGAAAGTGAGGCACAGGTCTTGCAAATCCGATAGTATGCTGCGGATTAAACATGAGTTTGTTTGTTGTTGGATCACTTGAATCAGGGAACGAATCAATGACATTGTCTTGATTTTTTTTTGAGAAGGGCTCCATATTTCAAATATTGTTTTGGCGCACTTCAGGAATACCAGACTGTACTTTAAATAAAGGGCGTCGACAGGTTGTGCCCGAACGCCAATTGCCCATTTGCCCAATTGTGTACGTGGTGCACCTTTCGAGCATTTCTCCCAAATACTGACATTTTCATAAGTTCCTAGATCTATTTCATAAAGGGGCTGTGTAAAACGTATGTATGTTCAGTAGAATTTATTATATTTAGGATCCATGTAACAATGGCTATTTTCTTTAAAGAACATGGATAATTAATGTGTTTCGGTCAAAGAACTAATGTGAGAGGTCCTGGAACATGTCGATATAGGATCGTCACGGAGTTGCCAATATGTGTTTGATCATTTACAACTTTAGACATTCATAATTTTCTTATTTTCTAATCTTTCCCTCAGAATTTCACTATTCGGTTTTCCTAATATTTCTAGTTTTATAGAACCAATTTAATGTCAGGGCACTCTTCCCCCTTTAACTTTCTAATGGACGCTGCATACGCACGTTCATTGCTTACACAGCTTTCCTCGAAAAGTGATACTTCGATGTTTTCTCCTTTTCTGATTCTCACACGACGTAAATCAATTTAGGCTCGTTCCAGATACATTTCAATCTAATCAATCCACAAGCAAATTAGTTGATATGAGTGTAAGGGAATGCCATAAGAAAGTCGGCCTTTAGCTAGGGCATTTCGAAAAATCAAATCAAACAGTCACCCTAAGAAGGGGAGAGAGAAAAAAGATAAGGCGAGGGAAATTTGGGGGTTGGAGTGTTGAATGTGAATTTGCAGTGAGACGTTTTAATGTGTTCTATAAATCTCGTATAGCTTGCATTCTCATTTGGTTTACATGCCGCCTACGACGTACGGCAACGTCAAACATCAGGATGAGGATGCGCATATGTATGTGTGCTAGTTTGTGCGCGTGTGGGTGAAACACTGCTCTCATTCCCTTTCACTTAAAGGTACCTTTCAACATTGTTATATTGTTTGACTGATTTTACTCTGATTATAAGAACAAATGCCAATAGAACTGGTAACTTCCTCTATGTGGATCAAGAACTGCAACCGTATATACGTGATAGACTAAAGAGCCTCTCTTGGAATATCCAGATGAAGTTGTTAGCATCTAGGATAGTGGAGATAGGTAGGCCAAGTCCAAGAGAAAAGCTTCAATAACGGCCTGAAAAGACAAAATGGCGCCTGGAAGGTCACGCATGAGTGATTTCGGAAAATGAAAGAGTTCAATGACCTTGATTGGGGCTCGTGTGGGTGGGGATGTGTATGTGCATGTGATGTGCGTGTGTGTTTGTGTGTGTGTGTGTGTGTATTTACCATGCGAGATTTGTAATAGTTGCGAAGCTACAAAGGGGGTACAACACTCTCCATTCATTGAATGAAAAAGAAAAGAAAAGATGAGAAAAGAAATAAATTTGCATTTCATTTAACGTGTAAGAAGGTGTCCCCACCCCTCCCCTATAATGCCAGTGCGGCAACGCCTCGTCAATCGCAGGACGCACGCTACGCTTCTGACATCTATAGTATTGTTTCCCTCTGGTGTTTAGATTATTCAGTACTGTTTATAGAATATTATACCGGAATGAATATCATAATGGAAAAGGTGTATTAATTTGCAGAAATACTGTGTAACAAAAACACGGGGGAAAGCGACATATTTACGTCGCCTGGCTGGCAGAAGGGCGTTAGTTTGAATTTCAGGCAGAAAATGAAGCGTTCAGCAGAAGGGTGTTAGCACTAAATCGCCTCAAACTTTTATAAAACTGACTTATTTCCGTGAAAAAATAATTGTGGCCGTGTTCTACTATAACATTCCTATTAGTCTTTTAAGTTTTAAACAAACTTTCGGACGGAAAGCAGTTTAAATATAAAACAAATCTTTAAATGCGAATAATGCGAAAGGTAGTTCTCGAGTCGCTCGCGCGCTAACACCCTTCTGCCAGCCGGCCGATCTATACCACACATTTCATTATCGAGGGAGACAAAATGCATGGCCACTTTAAACATGTAGATCGACAAGTGGGCCCCATAGAGTGGTGCCACTAAGAAAGATTCAACTGTAATTCCATACTGATTTTTGTCTCCCTCGATAATGAAATGTGTGGTATAGAACCTGTCTAGAAAAGCCACATGGCTATAATTATGGCCACATTCTCTGGTCGATCTTTAATCTTTTTAATTCTTTTCTCTTTACAGGGAACTCCAGTCAACGATTGGCGAGAATGGTACAGGGCAGTGCTCCCCTCAGCATCGTGTAGTCTTCATAAAGACTCACAAGACCGCCAGCAGTACCACGGCTTCCATTCTCGAGCGGTACGGCTACCGCCACAATCTCTCTTTCGCTGTTCCTCCTGCGGGTCACATCCTCGCGCAAAAAATACCCTTTCACCGCTCCCTAGTCGCCGACCACGGCTCATCCACCACAAACAACTGCTCCGACCATGACCATGGGCTCGACATGCTGACCAACCACGCCAGATACAATCGGCCAGAGATGGAAGCCGTGATCCACCACGCCAAATACTTGACCATCCTTCGCGAGCCAACGGCGCAGTTCGAATCGGCCTTCGGCTATTTCCAAGTTGCTGAGAAGCTCGGCTTGTCCAGGTATGAAAACCCAATAGAAGCATTTATGACAGACCCAGAGACGTACCTCAATATGAGAAAGTTTGATTACTACTGGCAGGCTATGAGAAACCAACAGCTCTTTGATCTGGGGCTCGATCACAAAGACCACGACGACGAATACATCGTAAATTATAAGATCGCTTCTCTGGAGAAGGAACTCGACTTAGTCATGTTGACAGAATACTACCCTGAATCCATAGTCCTCCTCAAGAAGATGCTTTGTTGGGACTTCGATGACATGTTGTACCTGTCCAACGGCGTCCGTAGCAAGTCCATTCGCTACTCCATCTCACCTGAGCTGCGTGCGAAGATCCGTAACTGGAATTGCGCCGACGGCAAACTCTATGATCACTTTAACAAGACTTTCTGGAAGCAGGTCAAGGAATACGGACCCGACTTCGACAAGGACCTCGCTACATTCCTTCGCAAGCAACAAGAACTCGAAGACGAGTGTATAGATTTAAGTGCAACAAAGGACAGTCGCCGAGAAGTCGTTTACCAATTGAAATCGAACGCCAGCAAGAGGTGCGCGGATGTTCTTCGTGGAGATGTAGACTATACATCCCTTATACAGGATCGGATGAGAGAAAACGGCGAAGCACCGTCCAAATTTTCGTTTGCATATCTCCGTGATGTATACAACTCCATCTTCGTTTAGTGTATAAGGTTTTGCTTTAGATGGGATATCAACAGGAGATCATAATCATGAAATACCAATCGCTGTCACTTCCATGGGCGTTCTAGATTTGTATGCGGCTTGTTGAACAAGCTATGACGTTATTTCAATGTGCTGTGAGGGCTTTGAAAGTCTTCGAGTGAATATCGGTGTTCTTATGCAAAATAACATTGATATATTATATGCTGCCGATAGTAGTCATGTGGCTGTAAATGTATATTTTGTAGATTTTTTTTACAGGTTCGAGATATACCCTGGTGATCAAACGCTTGTACATAAGGAACGAGGATATTGGGAAATCCCTCAACATAACTATACACCATATGCGATGAAGTAACTAAACGCCGATTAAAATTGTTCTGGCATGGAGGAGCGACTACCTCTCCAGGCATATAGTAAAGACTTTGTTGTACCTCGAACACATGGACGTCAACCACTATGTTGGAAGGACCAAGTCCGCCATGATGGCGGGATAAGTCTGGAAGCCGCTGAAAGACCATGCTCAAGATAAAACTGAATGGAGGCCGACTTCTAGGAGCATAAGGGAACACCTTGTAAAAAGACTGAAGTGATTTTTAGTTTCGATTTCGATCCCGCTTATTCATGAACGACGCAATGTGCTGCAACAGTTATTATAGATTCAAAGTTTCAAGTTATTTTGCACTTTCAGCTAATTTATAATTTGTTATTCAGAGCATTGTGCGTCAAAAGATAAATATGAAACGTCACTAAAACGTGACACTTTAACTTCCATGGGTTAATGGTGCAATAGTTGCATTGCGGTGCTAGATTAGCGCAGCTAATAATGCAATCAAAATAAAACCCTATGTGCAGATGTTGAACAATAATTATTGTAGCATACAACTGTGCAGCGTTCGCCAAAAATGTAAGTATTACGACATCAGTGCTACCCATTTAATGCAAATGATATCGAAGTGTTGATATGTTAAAGTATTAAATAATAGAAAACAATTATAATTTTGAAATGTTGATTTGTGAAGTATTACTTGTATTTGGATCTTCCATGTTGACTCCTCTATGTTGTCTCCTCTTGATATTGTAATTTACATTATAGGCTGAATTGACGCTGTCATTAAGCATTTCCTATTTCGACCTTCAGACGAAACAATCGAATGAGGTTGATTCAATATGTATTGTCACTTAGGGCAAAACACCTCTTATGACGTAAAAGGGAGATCGAATTTGATCCTTTAAACTGATGGAGGTTTATTATTATCTAATTTTAAGAACTGTTGTTTATGCAGGGGCACTAATACTTTTTTTTGGAACGCAGAAGAGTGTACATGTAAGTTTAAGAGTCATAGTGGAGATCATTTGGTGTTTGACTTGAATCCACTCCGAAGTAGAGGTTTATTACTCTTTTGAGAGTGAATTTTAGCGTGGATTTTCCACACCAAAACAAAATGAATCATAATATGACTCCCCCACGATGATCTTCACTTTAGACTTGTACATTTAGACAGTTCAGGATGGAGGCAGGTGGAGTCCTACCCCGGCTTGGACAACCCTGAATATGTGACATTACCGAGACTGCATTATAAAATATTCATAATGTGTTTTTAATAAGGTTGATTTAGGTTTCAATTAATATATCATTCCCAATGCACTTGGTCTTTATGGTAACAATGACGGATTTCGATTGAGCGGAAATTGGATCCAGTTTCCATGAAACGGCAATTACAGTGACAATACGCTAGCGGCGAAGAGTGGGATCGCTTGCCCGGAAAGCTGCATCACAAAAAGTGAAGAAGGTGCATGTAGCAGAATATTCTGCACGTGACCTCACTTTGCATGTATGTATGAATGTATGAAATAGTTATTGTGGAAATAGATATGAATGAGGATATCGGTTCTCTCTTAAGACTTTTTGCTGCAGCTGTTGATCTTGCAATGTATTGTGTAAAATAATTACAGAGTTAGAAAAATAGCTTTAATTACGTGTAGCCTATACCAATATATATCTTTCCTTTTAATTTCGATTAACTTGAGTGGATAAGGTATGCTGTCCACATGCATGATATAGTGTGCGATCTCATCCCGCGTTCTTTTTAGGACATTTTTTTGGTTCATGAATATTAACTTCTTTAACATTCCGTTTCCATGGCAATGCCCTTTTTTCTTCAAATGACTCAAATTTTGATTACAATTAAACATGCAGCTAAAACTATTAGATGCTTAATATTTGTTTCAAGTTGTTGAACAATTTAGTACTTTCTAGAATTCCATTTTTTAATTGTTTTTTTTTTTTACCATGATAACGGTGTTATTTTAGAAGTCATTAAAACATGTTCTTCAAATCGAGAGACCATTCTGAATTCTGTGTTTGGTCATGTCAGATCTGTCCATACATGTTGATATATATCTCGGTCAGCATTTTACCTTAATTATTAACGGACACTATAGGGGAATTCACACACAGGGCAATAAGTGAGTTTCAAATATCGACTTTTGAATCGAGATCGAAATCTCACTTGGGGGGAAGGGGTGTATTGTGTGATCGCAATCAATATCTGCTCTTAACGAATAATTATAACAAAGGTTTGGTGCTGTAAAGTGAAACATACTCGGATCGATTTGCAGCTAAATATAGCAATATGTCGTTATGCAACGAAAACCCAATTTGTCTGGTCTCTTTCGCATACCAGACCGACAACAGACCAAACTAAGGCATAAAGTCTTTAGTCTATGGCTTATCTTCAACGAAACGGAGTTAAGTCTTTTGTCAATTATGTTTGTTGCTACGGCAGGCAGCCAGTGAAAACGAATTCGTTTAATAGAATTATGGAAATGCAAGCATTACTTTAAACAATCAGAACTTTGTTGTTCCTAGCTCATTTTTCCTGATTGAGCTGTCATATGAAAGGGCAGAAAATTAATTTTCTAAAAATGTGACGTTCTCTTTGAAATGACTTTTTGGTACCCTTTCTTCAAATTTATTTGAATCACTCATAAAATATGCATCATATGAGTTGCGTCAAATGAAAGAGGAAGATCTAAGCTTTAAAAATATGTGTCATTTATTGACTATAATTGTGATTAAGTTATGATAAAATATCGATAATTCTCGGTTTCGTTTTTTCTGGGACGCACTGTATGTTTGATTTTTAAATTTATGTTTTTGTAGTGCAGAAGCTTGGTATGTGAGTTGCTTACTGCATTTAATTCAACACAAATCAGAGAGTGCTTTGTGTTTTTTATTTTTTGTTTTCATTTTGATTTGGAATAGTACCTTAAAGGCCCGGTCTTGTCACCCCCCTAGTCGATATTAAAGTGATACTATTTCTCTGCAAGACAATGTAATTTGTTTGCGGTATCTCTTTGCTGCACCGATACCTCAGTCACCTCGCCATTTTTTTTTATTCGGTGTGCTTCCGTTTTGCGTTGGTCTTGCCAATGTGACTGGGAATAATACTTCAGTCACACCGGCAAACCGAATCCAAACCGAATCCGAACCGAATCCGAACCGAATCCAAATCGACCGATTATTGATGATTCGTCGTTATGCAATCTCTGAGAATTCCTTAGAAATATAGAAACATGAAAAGTTCAGAAGTAATTTGAAAACATATCTAGGTAATAGTTTGTAAGATCTTAAAATTATGAACCCAGTGCACCATTTCCACTCCTGTATTCTGTTCCGAAAATCGCATAGAGAAAAGCAAATGTGTCTATGTGTTATAATTCTGCGCAATACAAAAACGTTTAATTAATGTTTGGTGTGTTGTCAGTCTTGCGCATCGATCTTGCCGGTGTGACGGTGTGACGGGTATAAGCCACAGTCACATCTACAGACAGTCTCCATACGACAGATTCTTAGTCATTCGTGTTGTCGGGCAGGGCATCGGTTTCACGAGACCGTCATAAGTGCAAACTTGGCGATAGTCCATTGAAATGCTTGTAAAATTTAACACACGCGATTCAAAGGGATGTACGTCCATCGTTGAACGTGTTCTCATGGCGGTTTCGTGAAACACTACCCCGGTGTCGGCCTCGTCATTGTGACTAGGGTGTACCATGTATTAGCTTACATGCGATGCTGCACATACATCATCAGCTGGCTCAACATTGTCACTGATGACATGTAGTTATGCCAATGATTCTAAGATCGTAAACATACATTATATACGTCTACGGGTTGGGCGTCGCTATATATCTATTTGGAAAGTGTTTGGGGGGGGGGGGGGGAACATGGTCGATAATTTAGCTCATGTTTCTAGAATGAACGGAATAAGAAAACTCAGACCTCTTTTTCCGATAGATGATCAACATAAAGTTCCATCAAGCGAACTATAGCAAAACAAAACAAAACGAAAAAACGAGAGGAAAAAAAAAATCACATTTTTTCGATTTCCTGACAAAGTTTGCTAAAAGAGCCAAGAATTCTGACAGAAAGTTTGAATGACAAGCCCTAAACTACCCTGTCTAGCGACGCCCCTCTCGACGTTCACCCCTTTTAAACTTTAAAGGCGAATATAAAGTAGCAGAAATTATTTACCTTATTGGGCCAATATCGATTTTCATTATTGATTTAAACGTTTAATAACTGTCGATAATGCAAATTAGTTCAACCAAATAATATTCTTTGTTTATCAACGTACCATTGTCACTACATTCATATCGTGCTTGTAGGCCTACTTTTTGACTTTAGAGGATGTGATGACTGATAGGAGGAAGTGTATGTACGTGAATAGTCCGTTCACCCTTTACCCATTTCTTATATTTTGTTGTTGTCTCGTAGAAGATGTGTTTGGTGTCTATTGTTTATATTAACCGTATCTTGATTTATGGCAAGGTGCCACTTAGAGTTGAGAGGCCAATAATTATGACAAGGATATCTCCCACCCGCACTCCATATCTGCCTTTGTCTGTCTGTCTGTCTGTGTATCTCTTCCCGTCCTCTTTCTCTCCCCATTATTTCTCTCCCTTCTCTTCTTCTTCCCTCTCTTTCTGCTCCTCTCTCCGAATAACAGAACAAAAGTAGTCTGGCGATGACAGCTAATAACGCGGGAGGAACAACTTTCTCATTTAGCAAAATTACTATGCATTACATTCGTATTGTAACATTAATTATTTTCTTATACCACTTGAATTATGTCATGTTCATTTATTGCTGGAAGTCATATTAGCCTAGATAAAATTATGGTAAGAAAAGCTGCATGGTTGTGTCGATATAGATGTTTCACGAAATGTTTTATATTATAATGCCATGATAAATGCCATCAGCAATCGACGCTTGCCACCATGCAATTTAAAATTTGTTGAAGATGATATATATTTTATATTTTTTGCCATCGGTTTACTAACATAACGAATTTTTTTGTAATGTACGTGGGTGCTGTATTCTGGCGATTATTAATTATTATGGAAAGCAAAAATAGTGTATTATTTTATAAACATGGGTTTGTCTGGTTTTGCTATCAAAATACACCCAGTTGCAAATCACTGCGTGATTGTCAAATATTGAACACGATTATGCATGTACATGATTCAAGTTTGACAAATTACGCACCAATAATTCAATTGTTATAACATTATCATTCCATTTAAAGGTTGTTATCTAAGTTTATTGTATTCTCTGAGATTATAAAAAAAAAATCATTACGATGGATGGCGAAGGTCGAACAAAAATAACAAGGGGAACAATGGAGTTGAAATAAAAAAAACGAAGATGAAATATTTGAGTTATATTTGTGTATGTGGTGTCATACTGATTGTTGTATTAAGTACTCTATGATATTCTGAATGCTATCAGGATGGATGTAATTATATAAATTTGTATTTGTTGCTTATAAATTATCATGATAACTTTAGCTGTTGGCTTAATATTTTATTGATAAAAATTTTGTGTTTTTTCATTTGATATGTTGAGTTTACCGCTGTATTTTAGGTCGAGGTTTTTGTTCAGTGTGTGATAATGAAATAATAAATCCAAGTAAAAGCTTTATATCCTCATGGTGGGAAAACTAAATCATTTGAGTATTGTGTCATTTCTATTTTTCTTTAGAATTGTGGTCAGGGAGTAAATATAAGATAACAAAATCAACAAACAAACAAACAAACAGATAATTAAGTTTTATCCACTATTTATCAATAATTACATTAACTATCGAATCTATTCGTTCTCTGCTTGATAGCGGGGGGGGGGGGGGGGGGGGGGGAGATTGGAATTTTAACTTTCGCTTTGAAGTGTCCTGCTTATCTTTATTCTTTTTCTTCTCTCTTTCTTTTACTCATCAGTCATGTCAGTTCGGTAGAGGAAATAAAGTCCTATAAAACGATGATTTTGAAATGTGTCAATTTTCCATAACTCTCTCTCTCTCTCTCTCTCACTTAACCAACCTCTCAGATAAGGGGGAGGGTGTGCTATAATGGATTTACTGCATGGGACACGTACATGAATACTCCGACATTCATGTACATAATGTGAGACTGAACCACGAATGCGACTGTTGCAGATAATGATGTCGCACAGAGGTGTCATGAATCATGATAAGAGATACGTGTTTATATCATCCTATAAACATACTGTAACAACCGCTGGCCCCATGGAGCTTCACTATTTAAATTGGTCTGGTGTGGTTGAAGAAGAAACAGGACACTTTGGGGAAAAGGTGTAAGAGCGCAAAGTGAAAGAAAGTTGAGGTCAAGTGAGGCGAGAATTCCGGGTCTGCCCTTGAACTTACCTTATAAACCTTACATTTCCTTTTGCTCATCCCAATTTGTCCTTCAATCTTTCTCACAGTAACCCTCACTCTCTCTCTCTCTCATTCTGTCACTTTCTCTCCATCTATATCTATCTCCCCTCCTTCCTCTCTCCCTGTCTTAAGTCCGTCTATCTCATCTTTAGCTTTCTCTCTCTCTTCTAGATATCTCTCTCCTTTTCTCCGTCTCTATTTTCCCCCTTTCTCTCGGTGATCTACTTTTACTTCTATTATCTCGTGGCATTCAGTACAATAAAGATTATTCACCAAGGAACACAATTATATACTGAGAAAAAGAAGAAAAAAAGACATTTAACATACCTGATACGCATCGACTTTGTGTGTGCTTATTACGGTTGAACAATTCACACAGTAGTTACATTAAAGTCCAACCTGTTATTCATTGGTTTCAATAACAGCAGAAAACCCGAGTTAAACAGATTAGCGATAGAGAGAGCGAAATCCGATTAGAAAGAAGAATTTGTAATCATGAAATGTAAATTGGCAACACTTGAGTCGTACATGTACCGTTTGAGGTTCTCTCACATCTTCTATGTACTGACAAATTTCGTAAATTTCCATTTTCTTAGTTATTGATGC